AACCTTGAAATTTAGTGGAGGAGTAAGTAAGACATTTTCAGTAAGAAGTTTCTAGAAGGCATGATAAATATTATTTTTGTTATTAGTATAACTGTTTGATCCCTCTATAGTGTTGTGTCCAGGCTGGGCATACAGGCGCCCCTCAATAAATCATTTTGGGTGAATGATTCACAAGCCAGCGAACAGTCTGGGGACTGGTAGCTCAGAAAAACAAAAGACATTATGTTCTTACTGGGGAATATCTCCAAATGCCTTCAGCATGGGGTTGTTCACATACCGCAGTCTGTGCTTGGCACACAATGACCTCATCAGAGGTGCCACTTTGTGGTAATTATGACGCGGCATTGTGGGGAACAGACTAGGGAAACAGGTGGGAAATACAAAAAGTTAGACTGGAAGAGAAGCCCAAGGGAGCTTTGTTTCCTCTATTACCAAATACAATTATTAATATAATAGCAGTAGAGACCCAACTTTGACCTTGAACAATAGTTCTGTTCTGGGGAGTTCAAAAACTCTTGCTAAAATACTCTAATCTTATCTCATAGTACCTCTGCAAGCCACATGCATTGTGTAATAATGTGGGAAGTATTGCTCCATAGAATATGTTTATGTTTGGCCATGCTAAATGAAGTTATGGGTTATCTATCATTTTGAATTATCTAGGAGCGCTAAAGATATCCCATCTTCTATCTCTGTTTTCATCTGTCTCTCTTTTTCTAACTCCTGTTCTGTGAATAGAAATGTATTCAGTAAGTTCTTGTAGTGGAAATGTCTGAGAATGGGAATAGGAAGTGAGGTGGTAGTCACTTCTTATCCAAAAGTTTCCACTAGTCAGCCCAGTGACTTTCTTGGATTTTAAACTTCCTCTATGATAAACTATGAATAATAATCCTTTCTTGTTTTGCTGAGGTTCTGGAGGACTAACATGAAAATAAGTGTGTGACCAGGAGAAAGATCTCTTCTCTTCTCTGACTATTCTGTATATGGTTAGATAAAAAGCTTCTCCTTGAATATTCTAAAGAGATTGGCTTTCCATCTGTCATCATTTTCTCTTTTTGTTGCAAGCTACTGCTCTCTCATCATGACAATTTCTATTTCCCACTGGTGCTTGATGTGGAAGGTTACGTGTCCAGTGAACCTGTCATTGAAAAAGGACTGTTCAATATTACAGATGGCCAAGACCTGCAAAGAAAAAGCTTACATTAGATACGATACTTGAATTTCCTGAGCCTGTCCCCACTGCTGGGTCATGGAATGACTCATTGAACAGAGGCTCTCATAGCTTATAAAGAAATAATTCCCTGATCCAGAAATATAACCTCAGGCTAAAACAACTCCTGACAATGAAAATCATAAGAGCCTGTTAAAAGATGTTTTTCATCCTTCTCTTATTGGCTCATTTGGAAAAAAAAATCAAATCTGCAGATAGTTGGGCAGAGATTATTATTCCTATTTTACATATAAAGAAATTTCAGCTCTAAGACTTTAATTAGTTCTGGAGAAAAAAGTGGCCCCAGGTTACCCACTTAAATGAATATTTGAAACAATCATAACTACCTACAGTAACTGGTAATATGAGAGACAAGTTTTGACTCAGGGTAGTTTAGGCAGAAGATCATAACAGATAAAGCTTTGGGCAGTGGTCGGTATAGTTATGGGTATGATGTAAAGTGTTAGCTCCCTCCTGACTCCTCAAGCTGGAAGCTTGAGACAAAGGAGAGAATAATTCGCGGGCAAGTGAGGACTATAAGGTCATGCCCAATAGGCTGCCCCAAATTTTGAAAAGGAGCCACCCTAAGTCATTGTTCCTTTCCAGGTTGGGTCTTTTCCCAATACAGTAGAAAGAACCCAGGCTTTGGACTAAAACCAACCTGAATTTAAATCCCTGCTTGACATCTATTTAGAAGTGTGAACTTGGGCAATTCCCTCATCTCTGAAATTGATGAGGTGTCTGAGAGGATTACAGGAAATAACATGTTTTACGTCTTTTCTCCCACCAAACTGAAATGTTTTAGCACATAGTCATGGAATGAGGATAGGCCAGAGTTTTCAGGAGGATCATGATTTCAATATTCTGTCCCATTATCCCTGTAATGTGATTTGATTCTTATGGCTTTTAAAATACCCTGGGGGATAAATAAATAGGCTATGGGGAATCCATTTGAATTTTAGTATTACACAAAAGTACAGAATGTATACAGATGTTTCATGGTTTGTTTTCAGAAGGGTTCTTTTGTTGTGCAAAGACCAGAACATATGTATTTTTAAGCAGCTGGTAAATGGAATACCCCCAAGAATCTCTATCTGTTCCTTTTATGGAAAAAGAAAGAAAAGAGGTCATTTATATGGAGTAAGTAATTTATTTAAGTTTGAAATTTAAAATTACAATGCATGTATACAGTGGTGATTTTGCTCTTTAGATTATAGTTTTTTTTGACTTATCTTCCCCGTAAGTAATATTGTCTCCTGAACATTGTCTAAGTCCATCTTTTTTCTCATGAATCTCTGGTTTTGCCTGCAAAAAGGCAGCATATTTGACTTGATTTTAAAAGACATTTTCTGTTTTCTCATTTTTGCTTGTGAGTCCAGGAAGGTTACAGTTATTAAAACTACTGTCAATTTTTATTAGAAAGAAAATTTATGTATAAAGAACTGTGTACAAATTTGGGGCAATGGGATAGCACTGACTTAAAAATGCCCCCTGGAGTGGGGCTGATCTGAAATATTCCACACACTGGCACCAAATCAGCTTCCACTTACTCTCCGGCATGGAAGTCTCACCTTTCATCTGACTCCTCAGAAAAGAGCTTGGAAACTGGGAAGGCTCATTACCTCCCCTGGGAAGGCTCAAGGACATGATAAAAACACCTGCCTTTACTTTGTGGCATTTCTGAGTGCATGGGGAAACACTTCTCCCATCTAACACTGGTGGATAAAGGGTCCAACCGGGTGAGTACAAGAATTTTCTGGTTAAATGGAACTTGCCACATAAAATGACAATTTATCATTCATTCTTAGCATTTCGAGGGACAGACGTGTCTCTAATATGGATCCAAATCCAAATCTGTGCTACATAATTTACTGAAGCCTCAGTGTGCTCAGGGGGAGAGAGCGTGGGTCAGAACAGGTGCTTCCAAGCATGTTCCTCCTCGGTGCTGTTGTGACTTGTGGTCTACTTCCTGTCTCCCTGATACCATCACTGTTAAATATTTGTCTTAATGATTCTGGGCCCTCATTTTGATTATGGAAGACTGTTTCTACTACTTTTAGTAACAGCTAATCATTACTGGGCATTTCCCGTTGGCCAGGCACTGTGTTAAGCTTGATATAGGGTGTTGTATAAGATCCTGACAACATCTCTACCATATTCCTATTCTCATTTTCTGGTTGAAGAAACTGAGATTCAAGTTACATTAAGAAACTTGTTTGATGTGATCCAGCTAATGAGTGGCTGAGCTCCCACAGAAGGCAGGTCTGCTGTTAAAGTAACAGTTGTCATTCTGGTTGCAGGTTAGAATCACCTTGGGGAGATTTTAAAACGATGCTGGCATCTACTTGGCAGCTCATGGCCTAGATACAGTAGAACCTCTGAAAGTTGACCACCCAAAGGACTATAACAAACTGGCCAACATACAGAGGTAGTGAACGTAAGGAAGCAGGCCTACTGTACTGATATGTACATGTGGCGCATTTCCAGTCCATGAAAATTAGGTCAATTTAAGGAGGTGGCCAATGTAGGGACATAGTCAACTATGGAGGTTCTGGTGTAGTTAAGCCCCTTTGAACATCAGTCTCAACTGAAAATAGGGGTGCTATAATCCTCACCTTGTGAGGCTTACATGAGACAACAGCTCAATAGTGTTAGACTGAACCCGGCAGGCGGCAGGCTGTCCTCTGATGTGAGTCCCATCTGCCTTTGCTCACCGTTTCCTGGAAGTAATTACTGCTCATGACTCTCTGAGGGCCTGACCCAGCATTCTCTTCTCCTTTTATTAATGGGCACTTTCAAGTCATTAGACTTAGTGGAGCCAGACAACCAGAAAGGTGTACAAGCAAAAAATTTCTTTGTTAAGGAAGAACAAATGTGCTTTCATTCAGTTTGTGAAGAGAGCCTTGTTTGAATTCACAGCTTTAGTGGAAGGCTCCGGGCCTCCCTTAAAGGCCAGATGACAGAGTCACTAAATCCCAGGGTTCTAGAAGTGCAGAGATTTAGTTTAACTCTTAACATTACAGATGAGAATATTGAGGGCCCAGAGGTAGAATTTGATTTACTAGAGGTCACACAGTGAGTGTTGCTAGAGCTGAGGCTGGAAGCTGCTCATAAGTCCTATTTGCTCATTACCCACTCAACAATGCCTGTGGAAGGCCTACTAAGTGCCAGGCACTCTCCTAGGTGCATAGGAGAGAGTGTGTGCTTTCTAGAGCTTCCTAGCTTACAGCGCGTGGCCAAGACCAGCTGCCATTGCCTTATCTCCATTTCGCAGCAATCCGAGCTTTGTAACCATCTGCCTTTCCCTGGCTACTCCTTCTCTAGCTCTTCACTTTTATCTGTTCTCTTGCATCTTTCACTTTATTTCTTCATAGCTCCACTCTCCTGGGACTAATCAGGCCTATTGGATTCTCCTAACTTCCCAGTAATTAGTGTTCAAACTTCCTCCAGAAATATTCACATTCATGATTTCAGAGTGCACATCTTCATTTTTAAAGCCACAAACTTTCTTCTGCAAATGATTCCTTAGGGTAATCAACTGCCAGGGATTTGGGACAAATTGTCTATCAGGGTAATTAAAAATTCTCATTTTAATGCATGTTTTATAACACTATATTACATGTTAGTATATAAATATTATCTACACTATTAATACATACATTTTAAATATTAGTGTAAATAAGTGTAAAAATATTATCTACACTTATTAGTGGGTTACCATAAACATTTTTTTACTGGTGTGATTGCATAGTCAAACAAATGCGGAAACTACTGCCTAACTGATTGACATTCAAGAATCCCCATCAGACTCCTTGACATTCTGTACCTTGAGATGGCCCATCACAAATTTGTGCAACAGATGGTTCCACTTGGACTTCTTAAATGTAGAACAGTGCCCTTTATCATGCTGCAAAGTGCACACTGAACCTAGGAGAGACGAGGTTGTTAAAGGTGTTGGGAACTCAAGACGAAAGAAATAAATGAACCTGACAGCAGATGCTAGAGGCATGTTGAGAATACGGGGTGATCTGGTCTGACCTCATGCCAGGCTTCTCTTTTCTCCATGTCTTGTTTTTCTAACCTCTATGCCTTAGCACAGGCTGTTCTCTCAGCTTGGAATGCTCTCCTTGCCTCTGTCAACATTTTCTAATATGGAGGGGAACCGGCATGAACTTTGGAGTCAGACAGATTTGGATTCTGAACTGTTCTTTAGCTCTTATGAACTTTGTGATTCTGGACAGGTTACTTGGTAACTGTGACCTTCAGTTCATCATCTGATAAACAGGGGCACTCATACCTGCCTCATGGGCTGTTGTGCAACTCATGTACATATAAAGTTCCCAGCTTATGCTGAGCACCAAAAAACCATTGAATTCCGGAAGTCCCTTTTTACAAGAAATAAAGCAAGATGGTTGTTCATGAAAAAACTTAACACGCAAAATTATGGAACTTGGAAATGCTTTGCTGTTAATTCTCTACAAAACCTTCCCTACTTGTTCCGATGAGTATTAATTGTTCCTTTCTACTCCAAGAGCACATGCTTGTTCCTCTCATCGGCATTAGCACCATTCTGTCATGCAGAATGCTTAGCTGTTTGAATGAGTATCTTTCCACTAGATGACTCCTTTCTCCAGAGCAGGGAGTGTGTGAATTTCCCTTCATAGTCACAACACAGTGCTACCTTCATAGAAGCCCACATTCAGAGATTCATACTTAATTCCCCTAGAATTTATCAAATACTCTGCTAAGCATCAGTTTCCGTTTTCATTTACAGAGGACTTATATATGCTTTTTCTTACATAATATGACATAGTCTCTGCCCTTGGAGAATTAATGCTCTGTTGCATTGATGAATGTAGGTTGGTTAATGAATGAAAGATAAAGATGAGTGTTACGTGGCCAATGACAGAATTTTAGTTACTAAAATTCTGAGAATAAAATGGGAGCAAACAGTGACAACTGTCATTAATTAAACATTTGCCATAAGCCTGGCCTGTGCTGGGCATTTCACACATTAGTCTTGGTCCTCCTGAGAGTAATTCCACATTCATTATTATCCTCATTTTGCAGATGAGGGAACTGGTGCCCACTGAAGTTTGCTGACTTGCCATGAGTGTCTAATGTGGGTGAGGGGCTTGTCAAGAAACAAGAGGGCAGCTGGCACAACCTAAAGAGGGAAGAAAAAACTGAGCCATCCTGTGAGGACACTGCCTGGGCTCAGGATATCTGCTTACCTGAGAAATTGTGAGAAGAAAGGAAATGAGTATTGTAACACGCCAGCCACTGCCAAACTGATACAGGATTAGCCAAGCCAGGACTTCCAAAGTGAGGACCCGGGCTAAGTGAAGGAAGAAGACCCCCAGGTTGGCATCTAGCCTCTAATTCTTCTGCAATTCTTGGAAATCTGAAATCAACTGGAACTGTGAAGTAAGTGTTTCAAAAAAAATTAGTTCATTTAGGGAAAAGGGAATAGAAATTAATATCATTACTATTTTATTTTATTAGTTTAGTGATAAATTTATTTTGTTAGTAGAATTTTATTAATATGAATAAATTTAATTGTATAGAGTTAAAAACAAAGAACCCCAATGAATCAGTGAACAAAATCTTTGAAATAAAAATGAACATTTCTTTTTCCTGGTGAAAGATGATTAGTGACTTGTAAACTGTCCCCACACTGCTATGGAACTTGGAATTAGTTTTTCTAGAGGAGGAGGAAGCAGAGGATGCCTCGGTGGATGGCTACATGAGCCTCCCGGTTGCTTTTTAAGCCATCAGTATTATTTTAGGTGTTGACTAAGCTCTGGTTTTGCTTTGGAGAACTTGGTCTTCTAGATGGATCTGTGTTACCATAGTTACTGGTATAGTTTACAAAGTGCTTCCAAGCCAGTTTTTTAATGTGTACAAAGGGCTCTTTTATAGAAGATAGTGAACATAGTAGAATATAATTCATTCAGATTAGCTCTAAGGATGAATTTTTAAAATTAAATCATAGCTGTGTACATTAATGAAATCATGGGTGCAATGTGCTGGTTTTATATACAGTTTGAAATGTTTTCATCAAACTGGTTAACATAGCCTTCACGGCATTTTCCTAGTTATTGTGTTAAGACGTTTATATTCTACACCTGGTAAATTTCACACGTACCCTTGCAAGATGCACCGTAGGTGTGGTCCCACCAATTACTCTCCCTCTACCCATCCTTTTTTGAGAGCTGCTCAGTAAATCTCTAGAACAAGGCAGCATCTCCAGGGGTGCTGGTGAGCGTCTGCTGGGCAGAATGGTCCTGTATGCCGTGTGCACATCCCTGTGTGCTTGTGCACAGAGTTAACATTGGCCCATAATCCTGTCACAGTCTTTTGTGGAGTACGCAAGGTTGGAAAGAAATACCTCTTGGCTTATTGATTATATTGGATTTGAAACCAAGCAGTTGAGAAGGTGAGCAGGGTATGAGAAAGACAGCAGGGCTGCACAGATGTAAGAAGGGAGGAAGTCAGAAATAAAAGAACAGTGAAAATAATTCTAGATGTCAAAACGGTTATTTCAAAATTCACTGGTAAAACTTTTATTTTAATTTATTTCGAAAAAGATACAGTCTTTTGCTGGAGTGCAGTGCCCTGATCTTAGCTTACTGTGGCTTTGACCTCCTGGGCTCCACCGATCATCCTGTGTGGCCTCCTAAAGTGCTGAGATTTCAGGCATGCCCCAGCACACCCAGCATGAAGCAACTTTTAAAGGAGCTGCTGCCTGAATAATTTCCTGTACCAAGACCCCATAAACTTTGGAATGCTTGTGGCCATAGATAATTTTAATAATTTGACAATTTTAATTGGTATTATCCAGGCTGATAATATCAGCCAATCCATTTATTGTGGAGTGAGGGTCACTGAAACCCAGAAGAGTGACTGGCCTGAAGTCACCAGCAAGTCAGTGACAGATGTTGGACCCAAACCCACACTTATCACCCAGTTTTATGCTCAAACACCAATTTTCTATACATACTGATTTAAGTATCCACATAGATGTATAAAAGAAAATTTATAGTAGATCTTTAACCGTGGAGACCAATAATCCTTTATCTAGTGACTATCTTCTATCTCTCAGCCATTAGGGGAATTTTCTTTTTCTACTTCTTTTTTAGTTGTTGCAGTTTTGGCCGGGGCCAAGTTTGAACCTGCCACCTCAGGTATATGGGGCTGGTACCCTACTCTTTGAGCCACTGGCATAGCCTGAATTTCCTTTTTCTAAATGAATCTTTTCGATAAAGCAATAGTGTCATCTTCCCCTTTTAACCTAAGTCCACTGAACCCAAACGATGGAGATGTATCTGGAAATTTGTTAATTACTAGCTCCACCATTGGGTTCATGATAATGATAACATTTATATTTGATCAAGAATTTTCAATGTTTCAGATACTGCTATAAACACTTTACATGGCTTGACTTCTTTCAATCATTTTTACAGTAACTATTTTGAGGTTGGTTCTACTGGAGCTATTTTATAGGGCAAGAAACTGAGCCCCACAGCGGTTGGGCACTTGCACAACTTGATAATGGCAGGGTTGGGTTGTGAGTTCAGGCCGTCCACCCTCAGAGCCTACTCTTCTCTATGGAACTGTGCTGTGGGATGCACGTGGGCCTGCAGAACAAGCCTGTGCATCAGGTCCAGATTTACAAGTAACCAGGAGGAGCCTGGTCCTCCAAGGAGCCATCTCTGTGAGCCTGTCTCCTGAATAAAATCTTTATTCTCTCTGCTTCATTGTGGTGTGTGAATCAGTGTTTTGTGCAAATTATTTGAAAAGAATTAAGAATCAGATAAAGGTAAACTGTAACAAAAATAAATGGCAAAGAATTGAGTTGTTTCATGTTAAGTAAAATCCCTTTAAGCTTTATGAAAATCTGTCCTGGTGAGTTCTTAGTTTCATAGTGACCTTGTATCTGAGATGACAATAATTCATGTGTAGGTACGATAATGAAGAAAGAATGGCATTTATCTTTTGGAATACTCAGGGATTGGGGCCATAAAGAAATGTTTTGGAGGCTTAGCTCTTTGATATACAAGCTGTGGGAATTTCTGAAAGTAATTTATTCTTCCCGAATGATAATTTCCCCACGTGTAAAATGGGCTGCAGTAAATGATAATTTCTCCACATGTAAAATGAGGAGACATTTACATCTTTTACTCAACAGCTATTTGTGGGGCTCCGACCACATGTCTGATCCCATGCAGGGTCCTGAGAACACGGCAGTAAGCAAGATGGACAGATTCTCTGCTCTCATGGAGCTTAGCTGAGCAGGGAACATGGACATGGACATAAAACACATCATTATAAGTCATCTCTGAAAAGAAATGTATGTAAGTTGCCTGGTAGGAGGTAGGTACTTAAGAAGTGTCATTAATCCTTGATGCAAGGCCAAGACTGCCCTTCTTTTGTTTCATAGAAAATTTAAGAGTTCTGAGGTAAAAAGAGAAAGATACTATTTAGAAATACATGGAATCCATCTATTTAAACTGCTGTGGGCCTACCCAGGCACAGTGGTTTGTTTCTCACAGAAAACAGTAAATTGGCCTTGAAATATACCTTATCTTCCACTTCTGGATCCTGGTACCTCACTCAGGTTTTTGTTTCTCTCCTGGCTGGGCTCTCCTGCAGCAAGCTCTCCAAAGAGCAGTGGTTTAAGGTACAACTGCACAAGGTCAAGGTCCAGGTGTACAGCCCTGAAGGCATCCTGTGAATCAGAGAGACCTATCAGAGCCTTAAAAGAGATGTGCTTATCTACAGACTGGTCCCCCTTCCTGTCTCATCCTATGCCCAACCTGGCAATCAGCACAGATATCATCACAGAGGATTTGCTGCTAACTCCAGGCTGATGTTTCAAGTTGACTGGTCTGACTGATCAAAATTACCCTTAGAGCCCCTCTATGGAAGTCTCATGTGAGATACCACCAACTGTGCATACTGCTTCTTTAGGCATGAGTAATGTGGCTAGGTTATCCTGGAGCACTGTTGGTTTGCTGAGAACCAGAAGAAATAGTTGGCCTTGACGAGTCTTTAAAGTCCAACATATGTCTGGGTGCAGAAGTTGCTCATGCTATCTCAGGCATGCAGCAATCAAGTTCATCTTCCACTGAGGGCTCCCTCTGGGTTCTTGGCCACAGGCCAGGAGAATGTTATTTTCAGTTATTTCTAAAGAAAGAGAGGTTAAAGTTGACGATGGCTTAAGGCAAAGACACGAGAGCTCATGGGAGCACAGGTCTCGACTCCTGGCTTGTCTGAAGTAGTACACCCTTGGCTAAGTTATCACTCTCACTACCCCCTATAAAAACTTCATGGCAGGTATTCTGCTTAGGGACAAAGCAACACCGACACACAACATGAAGGTGATTAACTGTATTTTTTAAAAATCTCAAATGTGCGTTAACTAGCAATTCCATGGGGCTACAGGGAGCAGCAGTGGTTCTTATGTTTGGAACTGTTCCTCTGTGGCTTATGTGTGGAAGGAAGAGACCCTTTCCTTCCAGGGATTTATTTTAACAGTTTTTGAAAGGAAGAAAGATCTTCAAAAGGGAGATTCTGGACTTTCTGCTATTATGTTTTGGGGATCATTAAAGATTGCTAAAATATAACAAAAGTTGTATGTTGAACATGTGGAAGCCACATGGATTACTCTGGGTGGTGGCTCTGCATACAACGGATTAGGAAAATGGGCCCTGGAGCCATCTTCCTACACCTAGCTGTGTAATTGTGGACAAGTTTCTTAACTCTGGCTTTGGCCATGGAGCCATCTTCTTACACCTAACTGTGTAATTGTGGACAAGTCTCTTAATCTCTGGCTTTGCCATTCACTAACTGTGTAATTGTGGACAAGTCTCTTAACTTGTCTATGGTACTTCTGTGTTCTCTTCCTGAAATGGGTTGATGATAATAGCCACTCAACTCATAAAGTTATTACAATGATTAAATAAGTTAATTAGAAAGTTGAATGGCATAATCTAAGTTTTTGATACACTTCACTTCAGCTATATTTCTTACATGTACACCTCTAGGGATATGAACTCATTAACTATCTTCTCTTCATTGCAACTATTTAGAGATTTCCCCCCTATTCTTTGATGTCTAATGTGGAATGAGCTCTGAATTATTTTAGGGAATAGAATGAATCCTACAGCTTCATATCCTGAGGCAACATTAGATGCACCCAAGAACTATATATAAGCTTGTAAGAAGGTACTTATATAATGAATAAGGTTAATTAGAGGGTGAGTATCAATGCTTCAGATTCACATCACCTAAGGGTCTCTAGAGGCAAAGCCATAAAATGGGCTTTTATCCCAGACACTAGCGTCTGTTCTGCTTCTGCACACTTCCTCTGACCCCTTGGGAAATGCTGACTACATGATTTCCAAAGTGTTATTTAAGATTCACATTCTATGATACTAAAGCTTAGTTCTTCTAACCAGGAAGAGAGTGAGTCAGTGATTAGGAGGGTGATTCAAGCGTCTCACGGTGATTCATAATGAAAAATAGCCTTCTGCTTGCTGTTCTGGAGCAGATTAAGATGGAAAACACCCTCATGGATCAAGAATAGCTTAATCTATTGCAATTTCATCATACTCTGCAAAGCTACCTAGAGCTCTGGAATGATGTACTGACAATAATTGCCTTCTGGTTTATTTTGTCTTCTGATTACTGGGAAAGTCCACAGGTCTGTGTACTGTGGCACAGAGATGGCAGAGCTACAGTTTTCCAGAATGGGAGGCGTGGGCCTGCCCTGTGGAACTCCTTTGCCTGCATTAATGTGGCAGTACAACAAAGGAGGTTAGTGACTCTTAGAATATTCTGTTTAAAAATTTTTTTTTTTTTAAAATTTCAGACTAGTAGAAGGGTACACATGTCTTGGTTACATAGTTTATTTTGTACATTTCAGGTCAAAGTTATAAGCGTGCATTTTAGCCAGAGATTTTCTAACAGATCTGGATACTAAGTTATGATGGTTTCTTCTTGAAAGGTCTGCAATAATGAGCCTGTTCCTAACATTCTTAGATGAGTATATTCTTGCTGAGGGATGCAGAGAGGGTAAAGTGAAAGGGGAGGGACTTGTTCCAGGGTTTATAAAGTGTGTCCTGTGTACAGGTACTCACAGTCATCGTCTCAGTTCTGTGAGCTTCCATCACTTCTGTTGTACAAATAAAGACACCGAGTCTCAGAGAGGAGGAAAATTATGCCCCAAATTGCCACAGACAATATCAGAGCCAGGATTTAAACTCAAGGCTATGCAACTCTAAAGCCACAAAGCCCTAAAAGTCCATTTCAACCGTAACATATATAATTCTTATTCTGAAAAGGCCTCTAAAGAAGGAAGAGTAAAAGAGATTGTTCTATGATGATGCTAAAATTAATATGTAGTTGCCTGGCAGATGGCAATGGTGTTCCGCACCTTAGGTGTTACTCATATAAAGCACTTTGCCTTTGGCTCCAACCTCACTCCCCAGACTCACATTCTCCATTCCCTTCACGCACCACATTCTCCACTGGAGCCTCCACAGTCCATGTGCATTCCACACCCTTCGGTGGTTCTGAAGTTATACACCTGCTATTCCTTTGCCTTGATTACCTTATTCCAATTTCTCTTCATAAAACTCCTCTCAGATGTCAAAACCTGTATTAAATATTGCCTCCCATGAATCACTTGGGAAAGTTATTCAGGATTGCTCCTGGTCTCATGTGACACTTTCTTCCTAGAGTTTTACAAATTATGTGTAATGATTTTCTGTACTTGCAACTTCTTGAGTGCAGGTGTACATTTTTTTTCAGACTGGGTCTAGGTATTATTAATGATCATTACAAAACTTATGCCTGCCCCTCTGCCTGGAAAGTGGCGTGGGATCCATGAAGGCCTGATGAATAAGGGAAAAGGTGAATGAGTAGATGGAAACAAGACACTACTGGTAAATATGGAGCCCAGATGCAAAGCAGACCTTTCTTGGGCCCATTGTTCTGGGCTCCTAATACAACTTTTAAAACAACTGACTGCATGAGTGGATGAAATAGTGACCCCATGGGATAGATTCCTTAGGTATCATTATCCACCTTGAATGAGGAAGGTGGAGGCCTGGAAGGAGCTACTATGTAAATAAGAAAAAGGTGAGCCCCTTTGGGCAGGTGCAGCCTGGGGTCCAGGGCTGGCACACAGGGGCTCAACCTGCAAATGCCTCATGAGTTACAAAGTGAGCATTGGAACCCTGGTCATCTGACTTCATGTTCTGGCCTCTGTCACTAGAGAGCATGATGCTTCTCCATCATATCCCCCCTCCTTTTTTTTTTTAACCAATCAGATCATCTCCAAATACAGCCAAGATTTCTAAGCTGGTGGCATAAAAACAGGAAGCAATCATTACGTTTCTGAGGTTATGGAGTTGGTGGTACTAATAATAATTGCTACAATTAAATGAACTTTTACCAAGCATCTAGAATTATGAGTTATATGCATTAGTTCCATTTACCATAAGTCAGTCAGATGGATCATGTCATTCACATTCTGCAGAAGCTGAGGCTGGAGCATTTCAATAACTTTCTCAGGTTCACATCACAATGCTCTGGGTCTGGTACTCTGAGTAGCCAGGGAGTATTGTGGATGCTTCTGGAATCCTCCCATTCTTCTTAAGCCATCTTTCATTGGAGAATCTTTTTCTCTGAACATTTTTTGATTTATTTTCCTGAAGTCTAACATACATAGCTGACCAAGCTTAGAAATTTTTTTTTTTGAGACAGTCCCACTGTGTTGCCCAGGCTAGAGTGCCATGACATCAGCCTAGCTCGCTACAACTTCAAACTCTTGGGCTAAATGATCCTCCTGCCTCAGCCTCTTGAGTAGCTGGGACTACAGGCACCCACTAAGATGCCCTGATAATTTTTCTATTTTTAGTAGAGATGAGATCTCATTTTTGCTCAGGCAGATCAAGAAATCCACACACATCAGTCTCCCAGAATGTCAGGTTACAGGTGTGAGCCACTGTGCCTGTCCAGGATTTTTTTTCTTGACATATTTTAAGGGAGCATGATTATTTGTTCTCCGAAATCTGGTGCTCCTTGTTAGTTATAATTCCATATGACATCAAGGTTTTTTCCTGATTTCTGAGACACAAATCTCCGGCAAATTACAGATTTATCATCTGGGCTGCCTTGAACTGAATGAGGCTGTCAGTAATTTCCAAGGTAGCTGGAGCCTTGTGTCCTTGCCAGCACATCCTCTGAGCTCATTCTGAACTTGTCCTAGAAACACGTGTTTGGTCTGAGGGAGGGGGTGGGATAGGTAGGGGCCCTTCGTGTTTTTCATCTTCTTTTTGTTAGTTTTTCTCCTGTTACTCTTACAGAAATGCTCTTTCCTTTGCTTTATGTACTCTTTTTTCTTTGATTTCTACACAGCGTTTGGAATATTTTTTAAAGGATTTCTAAATGTACTTAAGATTTTGGGAGACCTTCTTATCAAATCTTCAGTGAAAATTTTATTTTTTAAGGACACAGGTATGGAGGGCTTTATGGTCAAAGCAACCAGATATCAAAATGTAGCACCATTGCTTGCTGGCTCAGTGACACATTGTTTACCGCTTTGAACAAAATTTTTTTGATTTGTAATGTGAGAATAATAGTCACCTTCCTCATGCATAGGTCTAAGCAGGGCAATGAATTTGAACATGTCCATAAAAGTGTGTGGTATCACCTCTACCACGCTCAATAAGCTGCAGGATGCAAAAGAGCTTCCTGAGCTCTCAGAGCCTAGGTAATTTTGATGGCCACTGGATGGTTTTCTTTCTTTCTTTTAGATACTCCAATTATAAGAGTCTTAAAGATTTCTAGTTGGGTATAGATGTTCTTCCTTTTATTTCCTCCCGATTTTACTCATTTCTTTGTATTTTTTTTCTTAGAAGACAGTGACTCCACTTCCAACCAAGCAAAACCAAACACTAAGAATGCAAGGAAACCCAGAAGTCAAGAATGCCATACGGCGTTTCCTGTCAATACCTGAACTCATCCCAAACTGGGTGCAGCTAACAGCCAGACCTGCAGGCTGAATTTGCTTCCAAATTCTTGCTACATAGGAATCCTGAAAAATTGGTTTGAGAGGAGATGAGCGATCACGGGGCCTAAACATGTACTTGAACGCTTTTGGGAAGACAGCCAAGACCTCAGCCACTCAGCAGCTTAGGGAGACAAAGAGAGACTTTCTTACCGTGGCGTCTTCCCCCGCATAGTGCTTGAGGACCCGGCGCCCACCTGGGTGCCTGTCTGCCCAGCCAGTTACGCTGTAAACCTTGCGGTCGATGACCAGCCACTGGTCGGCCTCCCGGTTGTGTCTCTGCACCTCCTGCCAGCTGTACGTGTTGAGGCTTCTGCCGGGCACGGCCCGCTTCCCACTGGCCTCCTGCTTCGCACAGACCTCAGCGCCCGCACCTGCGGCTGCGCCTGCTTTCCCGTTTGCCTGCTGCGTCTCACCCAGGTGAGGCTGACCCCTTCCCACAGGGATCCTATTGTCCCCACACTTTTCTTCAAGCTTCATTGTCATTGAATCCCTGGGATTTCTGGGCTGCCTCCTGAAGTTTCTAACCCTTGCCTCTGATTGGACCACAGAATGACGGCTTTTCTGTCCACTGCAGGATGAGCCCTACCCTGGAAACTTGTCTTTAGCCTAAGTCGTCTCTCCACAGACCTGATGGTGAGCCCTTTCCCAGCCTCTCACTGTTCTGTCTGTCCTGAATCTTTTCTGCCCTGGTGGAGGCTGGAGCACCCTCCTCTCTTCCCTTCTCCTCTCCCTGTGTTCTGGTCTCCTGTTTTCAGCATCCTCCTTCACCATTAAATGTCCCTCAGTGAAGAGCAGGGGCCAGTCACAGCCTGGGCTAACTGTCCCGCCCTGAGGGAGGAGGGACTAAGCTGTGGCCTCTGAGGTTCTCCTGCACTGGCTGGGGTGGGCAGACTCCACTGGCTCTCTGACCCGCCTCCGAGTGAAGACATTCAGGTGTGTGTTCAACATGTGAGTAAAAGCTTGCAGAATCTCCAGGATGATGCTGAAGCTTGGTAGACTTGAGAAATGTTTTATTGACAGCTTTTATTTTTCCCAAGGGCTTTTAAATTTTTTAACTTTTTTTTAAAAGAAAGCTTTGGGTTTCATTTTACTTGAAAAGGATCAACATAAGTTAGTTTTCTCTCTTTTTGTTTCCTTTTCAAAGCTGATAATCAGAGAAGGTAGGTCTCTAGCCCTAAGTCACACAGCAAGGGAGTAGAAAATGGGGTCACCTCTCTCTACCTTTCTTATGTGGTTCTTATAAGGAGTGAGAAAATCCATTTACTTCAATACCTGGCACAATGAAAAAACAAACCACTAAAAGTAGTTTCGTATAGCAGAATGATCAACAGCCATGAGGGTGGTCACCTCAGAATGAAGATGAGACATCATCTATAATTTCTTACCCCTGGTACCCCAAGATTCTTGAACCATAATAGGGCAAGAGATAGGAACAAAAATGCCTAATTTAGCACATTTTTGCCAATAGTTGGAATCTGGAAATAGATGTAATATAATTTGGAAGAAATACTAAACATACTTACTTGGGCAGGCAGTAAAGGTGAGTTTTTCAGTGAATTTAGAACACAAATGTGTGGGAATAGTGGAAGGATCTGGAAGAAGTGAGATAAATAAAGAACAAGGTGGTTTAGAAAGTTATGGCTATCGAGTTCAGAATCTCACCCCCCCCCCAAAAAATAAACTTGAACTATTTTCAAAACTAATTTTTAGTCATACTGACATGGTCACTTTGGTTTTATTTTTCTTTAAACCCCTCCCTATTTATTGAGGTATAATTTATATTGAGGTGTAACTATAGAAACAATTTGACACACACTAAACCACACACATTAAAGTTTATAATCTGACACATGTATACACCTGTGGAGCCATGACCACCACAGTGACGACAGTGACCATGCCATTGACTCCAAAGTTCCTCTGCTTCTTTTAGAAATAACCTTACTTGTCCTCCTCAACCCTGTTAGATTATCTTTGAGAATTTACACTGTCATTAAAAGTTTCATTAACTGTTTAATACATTAGGGGCGATCTGTAGCATCTTCCAGAAATATCTGATTTCCCTGCGATCAGATCATCTTTTTGTGTGTGTGTGTGTCTCTTTTTTTTTTTTTCTTTTTTTTTATTGAACGGTAACTATGTACATCAATGCAATTCTGGAGTACAGAGGGGTGGGCAGGGAAAGGGGAGCAGAGGACTCCTTTGCAGTAGCCCACTGGAAGGCTTGGCATTAGCAAGCCGATCTGGGCCTTCCTGGTGTGGGAGCCCAGAGCGCGGAACTCTGCCGCTGCTGTCCACGGGACACACGTGGCTCTAGCAAACAGTTCTGGGCCCACCCAACATGGGTATCTGGAGGGGAACTCCTCTGCCACCACCCACGGAGCACACACGGTGCTAGCAAGTCATCTGGGCCCTCCAGACACGGAAGCCCAGAGCAGGGAACTCCTCTGCCTCTGCAGGCAGGATGCACGTGACTCTAGTAAACAGTTCTGGGCCCACCCGGAACAGTAGACTCTGCCACCGCCAGCAGGCCATGCGTGGCTCTACCAGGCAGTTCTGGGCCCGCCCAGCACTGGTGCCTGGAGTGGGAAACTCCTCTGCTGATCAGATCATCTTTAGGCAATAAGTCTTCTCCTCTTGACCATAGACAGACATACTTCTGAATTTTCCCTTCCTGACACAGAGATTAAGTGTCCATGGATACCATAGTGTTTAATTACATTCCTCTCCTGAGAATGTATTATGTGCCAGACAATTCCTGGATGATACAGGAGGAAGGACTAGGGTGTGCTCTTTCCTCACCTGTGGTTTGCGTCTGCTGATCTCTTGCATTTCTGTGCTTATATCATTTGCCAGGAACTAAAACATGCCACAAGGATGCCACTGTGCCTTTGCTTGGGTGGCTTCTTTTGCTGGAATGTTCCATACCATCCTGCCTTCCCACAGAACTGCTTGTTCAACCTTCAAAACTCACGTTAAGCCTAACTTTGTCTTGCAGTGATCACTCAATAAAACTGCAGCTCCTGAGACCTCACTGGGCCTGGGCGTGCTGTGATTACAGCTTCTGCCATACTTTATTTCCATTGTTGTTATTTATATTTTCTCCACTGGTCCCTGAATTTGAGGACAGTAACATTTTTATTTTTCCATTTATCAAACCTACCAAAATAACATAAGCTATGCACATGACTTTGGGCACCAGCAGAATGAGAACTCAAGTCAGCTGATTCAGAAGTTTGTGTTCTATTGTAAAGGGAAGTAATTAAGACTCAGAAAGGCTTCTTAATTCTAACCTATAAGCCCATAAAACTCTCCAGCACATGTCACTATCTCTATGCCAAACACAACATTCAACCCAAATACTTTAAGTAGGTCACAGAGATTCTAAAAGAGAGTCCTACTTCTGAGCGATTATGGTTAGAAGGGGAGTCTGGGCACCCAGCAGCACTACAGTGGTTGGTGCGGGAGTTCTAAGTAGGTGAGATCATCTTAAGCAGAAGGGTTTGCAAAAAATCTCATGAAGGTGCTAAAGCTCAAAGGAGACGAAGAGGTGAATAAAAATAAAATGGACTGGGGACTCTCTTTTAGAGATCTCAAATATGCATTTCTAGCAAAATTCTAGAGAAATGGTCTCTATTTTGGGGACAGATTGAGAGAGAGAGAAGAAACAAGGCAAGATGGGATGAGACGAGAGTGTGTATTTTGGTTAGATTTGTGCAATTACAGTTGATACAAAGTACCCCAAATTATTTTCTCAGAAAATAACTTTAATATTATCTCTGTGGACCCGATCTCCTGAGCTTATGGTTCCTTGAGGGAGTTGGCACCATTTACTAATAAGCTCTTCAGAAAAACCTCTCCTGTGTGCTGTGCAGAAGTGAGTCAAAGAAGTCTTTTAAAATGTTAGTGGAATAGGGTCAAGATGATGTAATTCTATTATTTCTGTCATTCTATTGTTTTCTGGACACCTGAAGAAGCTGAGGAGAAGAAAAATTTGTAGGGTAATTTATTTTCTTATTAGAAACTGTGGGCTTTGTAACTCACTTTGCACAGGCAGGCAATGGGTTTAGGGCTTATTTCTCCAGATGCGTAAGTTAAATGATTGCCTAAATTGCATCTCAGAGGCCAGGTAGGCAAAGATGAGTTTAGAGGCCTGGGACAATATCATCATGAAGGCCACTAATTTGGTGCAAATAGACTATTTAGTCTGTGTTTTTGATCTTGGTGGCCTAACTTAAAAGTATTTGGGTTGAATTTTGTGTTTGGCATAGAGATAGGGATATGTGGTGGAAAGTTTTATGGGATTATAGAAGGTTAGAGTTAAGAGGCCTTGACTTTCTGAGTCTTAATTACTTGCTTTACCTAGTTACAGAACACAGGCTTCTGAATCAGCTGGTTGAATTCTCATTCTGCTTGTGCCCAAAGTCACATGTGTACCTTGTATTGTGTGTGTGTGTTTTTTTTTTTATTCTCTTAATTTTTATTTTTTAGTATAATCTTTGGCTTGCATAAGACCAAATGTAAATGTCAGTAGCCTTTCCACAGCCAACATTTATTGTTTCATACATTATTTCAGGTTCAATACCAATTTCTGAAAACATAACAAATATCAACAGTGTAAGTACTTCACTACCTGTTTTTACAGAAACATTAATTTGAAGTCATCAATGCGTATATTTCCAGTGTCAGTCTTCTACTTTTTTTCCATAACTTAAATTTATTTTGATACTTGAAATACTGTTTCTATCTTCTTTGTGTTATTTAAAATAGAACTATAAATAGCCTGAGATGAATTTCTATGTTTAAAAAATATAGAGTTCTTGAAACATTTTATTACTAAGAAAATAGCTCTCTCTTTTTTAAAACTAATCTTATCTTGCATCCCTCAAGAAGAGGCAAGATCCTTTGCCTCTGAGACCACAAAAGGCCAGCAGCTTTTTGCTTCATGAATTTTCAGGTAAGCAAACCCTTTCCAAACTTTGTGGCCAGAGGAAAATGCTGTGAGACATTTTTCCATACTTCTGCCACATGCACCTCATGAATATTTTCATTTAATTTTGCCTATGGCATCATTATGAATAATGATCTGTGCCTGGAGTCTCGTATAGGTTTTTGTGTGGACTTAAGTTTTTATTTTTCTGGCATAAATGCCCAGGAGTGAACTTTTTCATTCTTCAAATATTTGTCTTTCTTTCCTAAGCACCTGATAACACGGTGGGGGGTCAGAGAATCTACTAAATATTTGAGAACGAGTCCTTTCTTGGATGGACTTAAACATTCAATGGAGAATGAATGGATTAATAGTTATACATAGAAATGATGGGCAGAAATGCAGGCAGCTCTGAGAAAGCGTCCCAAACAAGATATTGTTGAGTTCTTTCATCTCTGTTCCAAAACCAAGGTCTTTTGTTTCAGCCTCCCCTACTTTCTTTTAGATAATTTGACTAACTGTTGCTATAGAATGGAAGAGAATTGGGGAGGAAATTACATTGTTAACATCTGTTTACTATTAAACTGGAGTGAGGATAAGTATTAGCCTGAATTCATTGAATTTATATAATTCCCTGGTCTATGAAATATTTTTCAAAGCATCCTTGGATCTAAGACAGGTGTCTTTAGAAAAGTAACCTTGTATAGTTAGAAGGCTTGCCGTAGATGATCTTTAAAGTTCAGTTCTAGGTCTAAAATTCTGATTCTGTACAAAAAATCCTCTTTTGATGGAGGAGGAAACTGACCTGCCCAGTGAGGTTCAGTGAGCAAATCAGTGTGACACACGTGGTTACCAGAGAGTAAGCAGGCCGCAAGACCGTTGGCGGTCAGCCCCTGGCTATGTAAGTTAAAACATGAGTTAAATTCAGATGTGAAACTAATTAGCTTTTCATTATGAATGTGTTGCCTAGAAAATTCTTTGTCTTTCTTACAACAGATAGACCCACAGCAATGGCTTACAGAAATCAAACTTCCGTTACTGAGTTTGTTTTCGTGGGATTAACAAATCGCTTCCAGCACCAGGTTCTGCTCTTCCTGGTATTTCTCTTTGTTTATCTTGTCACTCTTTTGGGGAACTTGGGGATGATCACGCTCATTTGGATGGACTCCCGACTCCACACCCCCATGTACTTTTTCCTCTGCCACTTGTCCTTTGTGGATGTCTGCTCTTCTTCTGTCATAGGGCCCAAGATGTTGACTGATATCTTCATGGAGAAGAAAGTAATCTCTTTTTTTGGTTGTGTAGCCCAGATATGGCTTTTTGGTCACTTTGTAGTAACTGAATGCTTCCTTCTGGCTGCCATGGCGTATGACCGGTACGTGGCCATCTGCAAGCCCTTGTTGTACACACTCGTTATGTCCCAGCAGGTCTGTGTGCAGCTGGTGGTGGGGCCTTATGCCCTGGGCCTCATCAGCACTTTGACCCATACAACTTTCACCTTTCAACTGCCCTACTGTGGCCCAAATATCATCAACCACTTCTTCTGCGACCTTCTTCCTGTTCTCTCCCTGGCATGTGCAGATACCTACGTCAATAAGCTTTTAATTTTTATCCTGGCCGGAGCCCTGGGAGTACTCAGTGGTGTGATCCTCTTGGTCTCCTACATCTACATTGTTGTGGCCATCCTGAGGATACGCTCTGCTGATGGGAGACACAAAGCCTTTTCTACCTGCTCTTCACATGTGACTGCTGTGTCCATCCTATATGGTACTCTCTTCTTTATTTACGTACGTCCAGGCTCTAGTTTCTCTCTGGACATCAATAAAGTGGTTTCTTTGTTTTACACAGCAGTGATCCCCATGTTGAACCCCCTTATCTACAGCCTGAGAAACAAGGAGGTCAAAGATTCATTCAGAAGGAAGATCAAAAGGAAGAAGCTTCTGATAGGTAGGTGACCTAGGACACCAGTGGTATTTCCTACAGATAAGTGACAATGTACAGAGGGAGAGAAGCTACACCAGGTGGTTGGACACCTACATTTAAGTTGCAATTAACTCTTTATAACTCTGTGTCATTGATAAGTCACCTGACATCTTTAGAAGCAATTCTATCACTTTGATTTTGGAATATTAAACCAAGATGGGTGAAAGTTTAGAAATTATTCTCAAGTTTTGTGACTAGGAAATAAGAGGTTCTCTTTAAAATTGTGAAAAAATAAAAAAAATCACAGCCTGTGAAATTAGCAGTACCTTGGTTTTGGATTATGGAGTAGTGAGTCGTCTTAACTTTATGAGAATTTGGCTTTGAGTCTTTTAAAACTTGAACTGTTCCAAAGGGTATTATTCTGATAACTATGGAAACTTCTAAATTATCTTCACATTTTGAATAGACATCTTACAAAGAACTTTTAATACACTATACAAGGTGGCCATAAAGTTTATGTTCAATTTAAAATATTGCACATGAACTTTATGGCCACCCTGCATACTCTTGGGGAGAGTAACAAGTTATTGGGATTGTGCCACTGTAAGTGTCTGATTTATGCTGGTAAGGTGAAGAAGGCACTTCAGTTCTTTCGTAAAGTGGTTGTTACTACCATTGTTATTCACTGATTTTTATTTTATTTTATTTTATTTTTTGCAGTCTTTGGTTGGGGCTGGGTTTGAACCCACCACCTCTGGCATATGGGGCTGGTGCCCTACCCCTTTGAGCCACAGGCACTGCCTATTTACTGATTTTTATGTGTTAGCTGGGGCATTAATTCTTACTTTACAGATAATGAACCTGACAGCCATGAAGACACAGGGGATTTCTCATCATTCACAATTTGAATTCAGCTTTTTTTTTTTTTCTGTGCCAATATAATATTATTTCAGCCATTTTTCTGTGTTCTTTTTCTGGAACATAACAACAAATTCATGAAATGAGGGAATAAGACCTGTTCATTGTACAGAGTTAAGACTCCCTCAGATACACACAATGCTTCCCTTTGAAGACATTTTTTAAGAAGAATTTAGTTTAGCCCATAGACTTTTAAGAATATAAATAGTCTCTAGTAACCCAGACTTTTTCATCATATTGTCTGCCAGTAACACTGTCTGTGTTGTGTAATGATTTGAGGGCAATATTCAATTAAGAGAAAGAGGGGTTCAGATTATGTTGCAATTTTTAATTAATTTGATAAATTTTTTTGTGCACACATTATTGGGTATCATGAATATCAGGAGTAATAAACTTGTGGAGGCCATAAGCTAGTAGGATAGAAAGATAAATACAAAATTGTTAAGAAGATTAAAAATCGATTACATATATAATGTGATTTCTCTAACAAAACATCAAGGAACCGAGATAGAGCGTAAAAGTGTGTATTTTAGAAAGAGTGACAGGGAGAACCCATTTTAAGTTGGGTAAGTATTAGTAAAGATGAAGAACGTATGTTTTGTGGTATGGTTTCCCATGGAGTCTGGATATTATTATTTGGACCATATGAGTGGAGACAAAAGGACCCTCTAGAAAATAGTAACAGGGACACCCAGATTTTCCAGGAACAAGAACAAAAGTTTGCAAATCACTTTATTCTGATCCTCAAGATCCCATTTTTATGATGCAGTGCTTTTGGAATGAAGAGAGCTGAAAGTAGGATGTAATGTCTTGTTGACAGAAGGGATTTATATGAGCTGAATGAATTCTTTAAAAAATTAACATTTTTGAGAATACATTAAAATATTTGTGACCTTTTCAGCCGTGTGACTCTTTATTGACTCTGCCTAAGTTAATAAGATCTTCCAAGGCACCCACTTTTGCTAGATTGATTGTGGTCTATTTCCAAGTCTCCCTAAGTCCCTATGGTCCATGAAAACAAACAAAAAATAGGTGGTTTGTCTCTATAGCCTTAACAATTATGCTTGTGAACTCATCCTAGAAAAAGTACTATATACACCATTGTTTAATATCATCACTATGATCACCTCCGAAGTACTTCCTTTGGGAAGCTATGCACTGATACCAGTACATAGTCCACCCTTCAAAGCAATTTTGGAACTCTTTTGCTAGTATGGCCATGAGAACTGTCATTATAGGAGGTATGACAAGTAAGTTCATGAACTCATCCTAGGGAAAGTGCTACATACTTTATTGCTGAATATCCCTATGGTCACCTTTGAAGTACTTCCTTCGGAAAGCTTTGCACTGATGCCCGTACCTAGTCTACCCCTCAAAGCAATTTTGGAACTGTTTTGCTAGAATGGCCATCAGAGCTGTCATTGTATGTGTGAGATATGATAATTAAGTTTACAAACTTATCCTAGAAAGATTACCTTGAGGGGTGGACTAGGCATCGGTGCATAGCTTTCCAAGGGGAGTACCTCGAAGGTGACTGCAGTGATAGCAATGAGGTATGTGGTACTCAATGAACAAGGTCTTTCCTGGCCTTTACATTTCCTGTTTCATCAACTTTAGAGCAGTCTTCTATGTCACTCTTGTCTCATCTAAGGGTTTGCTCAATTGTCCTATCATCAAGGAGGCCCCTGGATCTCTTTGCTTAAAACAACTCTCTGCTTCAGTTACATCCCAAACATTTAGATGTTTTTCTTTACTATTTTTGAGGTGCTTGAAACTACCCAAATATTATCTATTTCCTTGTTTGTATACTATGTGTCTCTCACCAGCAGAAGATCTGGTTCCTGAGAGCAACAGTGCTGTATGCTGTTTGTCCCCAGGCCCTGCCATCTGATGCTGTATGTTGACAGTTTGTCCCCAGGCCTTGCCATCTGGCATGTGATAAGGATCCATATATACATATTTATTGATTGAAAAATAAATAGATGGTTGATACTAAATTCTTTATTTCATGGACATTAAAGTTTGATAGATATTAGCCTTGGCAAAGTTTCCTTGGATGAATAATTTAACCACACAATGGGTTTAAGTGCATCAGATCGAATCTCTCTCTCTCTCTCTCTCTCTATATATATATATATATTTATACATACATATATATACACACTCATGCATTTACACTTTAAGTTTATTTATTTATTTAGAGACAGAGTCTCACCTTATCACTCTTGGTAGAGGGCTGTGGCATCACAGCTCACAGTAACCTCTAACTGCTGGGCTCAGGCGATTCTCTTGCCTCAGCCTCCCAAGTAGCTGGGACTACAGGCACTCGCCACAACGCCTGGCTATTTTTTTGTTGCAGTATGGCCAGGGCCAGGTTTGAACCCACCATCCTGGGTATATGGAGCCCTGTGCCCTAGCTGCTGAGCCACAGGCGTCGCCCAACACTTTAAGTACATTTATGACTTCACATGGAGTTTGGCATGCAATGGATAAGAAAAAATGGTAATTTTCAAAGAGTAAATTTACTTTTTCATGATTTTTTTCCATTCACCACTATGTGGGAGTTCTAGTGTTATCATTTGTGTTTGATTTTCTGGTAACACATCTTATTTTGGATTCTTTTTTCTGCATTCAGACTTGTTTCTTGCTTACAGACATTTATTTACTCTATTCATGTTTACAATAAAACCTTGACTTCATTTTGGAGAATAACCTCTAACCTACAAATGCAGTCTTGGCAGGGCTGAGACTGATGTCCTTTCCTTTCCATAACATGGCATTGGCATATGACCAAAGCTTAAACTATCTTTCCTTGGACTTTGACGTGTAAGCAGAGCAACACAGCAGAAAAATGGTTGGAGTTCATTCATTTCAGCCGATTCCCCAGACTACTTAGACAACTTCTGCCTCAGGGACACCCAGTGATGTCCTGGTTTTTACCTTGTTTTTAATCTGTTTCTTTTGTCTTTCCATGGATATTGTGAGATACCAAGTATACTTGTAAATAATTTCCTATTTTTGTTGCTTGCAGCTGAAGAATCCTGACACGTGGCCTAATTTTTCTTTGCCTGGGAAGTATTCCATGCTCATTTTCACTCTCTTGAATAATTTATTCAATACACTCTAAAGTTAGAAATTATTATTTGGCATACCTCAGAAGACAAGAAATGAAGTATAATTTATTTCTAGTTAAATATTATTGGAGGGTTAGAGTCATTCTTAAATTATTTTATTTGATAATCAGTTAACTTATTCTATTTGTTTTAATCCTTGTGTTAATAATTATCATATGTGCTGTGCCCTTTGCAGAGTTGGCTCTGATGTCTATAGTAAAGCCACAAATAAAACATTAATATGTTCATTTGAAAGACCAATATACTGAGTGTAGCCATTGCTGCATTGCTGAATAACAGATTGTTATGAACCTGGCAGCTTGAAACAACTTAAATTTACTGCCTCATGGATTCTGAGGGTTAGGAGTGTGCACACCTCTTTGTGGGGATTTTCTGCTCAGTGTCTCACAAGACCTAAACATGCTGGGAGGTCTAGATTCCTTTCTGGACACTCTAGGGTCAAATCTGTTTCAAAGCTCATTTGGTTAGCTGACAAACTTTATTTCTTTGCAGTGGTAGGACCGAAGTTCTTGTTCTTCTTGGACTGTCAGTGGGGGCCTGTCTCAGCTCCTTAAGTCTGCCATACTCCTTCTCATGTGGTCTTCAATCTGCAGACCAGCAAGTACCCTACTGAATAAATCACTCTAGACATGGAGTGCAGGTGGGCACTCTGTGAACTGGTTCTGGTCAACTAATTACTGTAGGACTTGATAGGTGTACCAAATAAACTCTAAGCAGATTAAAAAAAAATTAAAGAGGTGACATTTAATGTCAGACTGAGTCCTCCAAATCCAGCGTCTTTCCTTGTGATTGTAGAAGGCCATTCAGTATAAATAGGACTGATAATTCTATTATTTTCCCTTATAAATTCTCTGGATTCTTATATCATCTCTTCTTCCAGGAAAAATTAGAAGAAAATTATTTAGAAAGTCACTATTGAATAATGTATTCTGATATGATTTTGGAAAACTATACAATCACAAAGAGTTCTCTGTAAAGTT